CATTCCACCCACACTACCAACATTACTGCCTCATCAGCATTAGCAATGTCATCAAACACTTATTAGTAAGTACATATGGCCAGGTACGCAGCTAGCCCAGATAGAGATGCCCTGTATGATCTCTTCCCTCAAGCTGCTAACACTCTTATAGAAATGGCATAAGAATAGTTCCTCAAAGTCTACTGAATGTAGTATCAGCTAAAGAAGTATAAATGTCCTATAAACTTACAGGAATATTTAAGTCACAAATAAAGAAATGCAAATGAAAATAATGGTATATCATTATTCTGCCAAATTGGCGAACATTTTCTAAAATGAATATGTTGGTACAGCATATTCAAATATTCAAAGTACAAACTGGAAAAATTTTCTGAAAACACATCTAGAAGTTTATCACAAGCCTTTAAAAAGTATATACTCTTTAATTTATTTGACTCTATTTTGAGAAAGCTAAGTTAAAAAAAATAATCAGAAATGAAAACAGACTTAATGATGTTCATAATAGCATTATTTTTCTTAGTAAAGAAACAAGAGAAATTGTTTGGAACATCTACATGATGGAATATTATTAACCTATTAATAATCATTAAATCATATTTTCAAAAATATTTAATAACCCAGATTAAGGCACACAAAAACAATCTAAATGAGAAAAATTTTAAATCCACACATAATATGGTCCAGATTCAGTAACTTTATATTCATGTATATAAAAACTAGAGGCCTGATGCATAAAATTCATGCAAGGGTAGGCCTCCCTTCCCCTGGCTGCTGGCTTCGCAGCCCCGGCCCCCACCAGCACCTGCCTTGGACTGGCGCTGACCCTGTCTGCCTCTACACACCCCCAATTCCCCAGTTCCGCGGAGCCTCCCAATCGATCATCCCGCAGAGGGTGGCCTGGGCCTCCCTCTTTGGGGCGATTCGGAGGTCCCCAACCACCAATTCATCGCCCCGCCCACCGGTGGCCTGGGCTTCCCTCTGCTGGACGATCGTGGGGCGATGGCAGGGCCCCCAACCAATCACATCGCACCCGCCTTGGCTGGCCTGGCACGAGTGTATGTCATAGCGTGGTAGTCCAGACCATTGTTCTTACTGTTCGGCTGTTCAGTCGATTTGCATATTATGCTTTTATTATTATAGATTATATTTAAAAACATAGTTAATATTTTGCTGTTATTGGCTTTAGGTACTTGACTTAGGAAAATAAAAACAGGAACAATTAAGAGAAGATAAAGAAGCACAGGGAAACTTCTGTGGAAATGCTGATGGGCTTTACTGGCTACTTAAGCATCCATAAAAGGCTGGCTAAATATTCTGCTAGGTTCTACATTGGGCTCTAGAACACCAACAATAAAAAGTATAGCCCCACATTCAAAGATCTTACAAATACACAGAAAAGTAAGATGTAGCAGCAAACAAGAAACTCAATTACATCATGGTAAATGCCAATCTAGAAAAAGTATGCACAGAGCCTGGAAGCTTTACACACACAAAAACTTGACACCTGAGTGGGTGTTTTATTTTTAATCTTTATTGTTGAAAGTATTACATATGTCCCTGAGTGGGTTTTAAAAGATGTGAATGAAAACTGAGCTAGGTGGCCCTACCCAGGTGGCTCAGCTGATTGGAGTGTCATCCCATACATTAAAGAAGTTGTGGGTTCGATTCCCAGTCAGGGCACATACCTAGGGTGCAGATTCAGTTCCCAGGGCACATATGGAAGGCAACCGATCAATGTTTCTCTCTCTTGCCCTTTCTCTCACTCCCTACCCCCTCCCTTTCTTTTTCTAAAAAAAGAAAAGAAATCAATAAAAATATATCCTCAGGCGAGGATTAAAAATAAATATGAGCTAGGTGGAGAAAGAGAAAGAGTATTCCATGTATGAGAAATAGCAAGTATAAAGCCTCTGAGATTTTAAAAAATAATTGTATAGTTGGAAGTGTTGATGAAACAGAACTGTAGAAAGAGGTAAGACTGCAAAGGAATATTGGGTCTATATCAGGCTTTTCAAATTCTTTTGTGAAGGATCTGTTTCTTATTTCCAATATGTCATGGACTGGTAATTTTGGTCTATACCCTGTTCAATGACATGAGACCATTGATCATGTGCTTGATGTCACAGCAATTCAAACTGCCTCTAAATGTTCGCTTTCAATTTCAGTAATTATTTCAACAAAGACTAGAAACAAACTTCGTGAACTGGGCTGGTCCATGGACCATGCTGAGCTGAAATCACAAAAGTTTTATTTTATCATGAAAGCAATGTGGAATCATTTAAGTACATTTTTTTCTGGCTTCCTCTTTTAAATCATAGTTTTAATACATAATTTATAATCCTAAAAGAAAAGGTACTATTATTCTCCCGTTTTTCTGGATTAAGAAAATGTATCTTATTAAGATTAAAAAAACTTGCTCACAGTGATACACTGAGAAAAAATATTGGACACTCATATCTCAGGTAAGAGTTAATTCCCCGAAAACAACAAAAAGCTCCTGGGATTCAAAAGCTTAATAGGAAAAATAGGCAAAAAAAAATATGAACAGACTGTTCACGGTAAAGTAAACACTAATAGCTTTTACTTATATGAAAACATGCTTAACTCTACTGATAATAAGATACGTAAATTTAAACTCTTCTGAGATACACCATTGCCTAGCAGACTAGCAAAAATCCTAAAGCCATTCTATTAGGTTTGGGCAGCAAAAAGCACCCTGGTGACATTACTGGTAGGAATATAAATTGATACAATCTCTGTTGAAGGCAGATACCCTTTGGGGTAGTCATTAAAGCTGTTCACAAATCCTTCCCTATCTTTTTCAGGGTATAAACACTACTAACTTGAAGTTAAATATGGCTTTATGATTTGCTTTGGCTGGGGAAATGTGAGCAAAAGTGACATATTGTACCTTCTGGGCAGGAGTTTTAAGAGCCAGAATGCAATTTACTATGTTCTCTTTCATTTGTTATCTTTTCTTTCCCCCTACCACCACAACTGGCAATGTTCTAGGTGCAAGCTATGCCATCAACCTGGTTTGCAGAGAAAACACAATTTAAAGCAGAAAATAAGAACATATAGAATGACAAGCAGCATGAGTAAAATAAACCTTCGCTGTTTTAAGCCACTGACAAATGGAGGGCAATCTGGCAATATTTATCAAAATTACATATGCATATCCCCTTAGATACATGTGCATACATGCAAAATGACACATGTAAAAGGTACTCCTTTAGAACATGGTTGTTATAACAGGTGACTGGAAACAACCAAACAAATATGAACAGAGACTAGTTAAATACTTGTAATATATTCATATAGGGGAATATTATGCAGCTGTTTAAAAAAGAAACGTACTCTTAGAGCTAATATGGAAGAATCTGTAAGTGAAAAAGCAAGATATTCTCAGTGTGTATAATACACCATATTTGTGAAAATAAAAATTAGGGGGAGATTAGAATATATATTTATATTTGCTTACACTTGCATAAAGAAATTCTAGAATAATAGAAACTAACAAAAAACATTATCTTGAGGCAGAGTATTAAGGGGTGACTATTCAGGGGGAAAACCTCTTGATGTCATACTTCTTACTGTCTCACAACCTCAAACATTCTGTCAGCAAATCTCATCTTGAGTATAAATGGTGTACTTCTGCCTCTATCTTAACCTGTTATCAAATCCTTCTTTGAACTCTGGCTTGTCTTTCTTCTCTTGGCAATACTCAATCAGCTTCCAGTTACATTACCTATGTTGAAAGTATATTTATAATTGTTCTCTTATTCAATTAAGTGGCAATGGTTCTTAATTACTCATAAATGAACCATGCCTTTCTCTAAATAATTCCAAGCTTTGGCAACTGTTTTTAGCTATTGTTTTTGAAAGACTCTGAAATGCCTTTTAAAAAGAACGTCATAACAAACTGTTTCTGCTCCAATATATATTCTTCTTTCTCATTCAGGACTCTTCTTTTATGTGAAGGTTATTTATTTTACTTTCCTTTATAATAAGAATTACAAGACCCTTATTCCTTAAAAATTAGAAATAAAATATTAATAAGTATTATGACATTGACTCTTCATTATTTTTAAAATTGACATTTCATTATTTTTGAAATCTTAGTTTACAGAATGATTTGAAGGTCTAGTTCCACATCAATTATTTCAATGCTTAGTTTTTATAGCTGTCACAGCTAAAAAAGATATTGATACACCAGTCAAATGAAAAATGTACAATTATGTCCTACATACCAAAGATTTTATTAAAATCTGGCTGTTTTCATCTTCTCTGATGTCTTACAAAATAGTCAGAAATATTTTTATATTTCTAACAAATAAGTTCAAACCTCATTAAAATTTTCATTTAATACGTTAATAGCCTCTTTCCAAGATTTTAAAATATGCAGTTATGAGTTTTTGTAGCACTGTTTCTAATAACAAAAGAACACACACACACACAGAAGCATTTTCAAACATTTTCAAACATGTGTATTGAAAATGCTTCCTCCAAAGCAGCTACTTTTTCAATCACTTCTAAAACATTATCTTCAAATGAACAGTGCTTATACAAAGGACAATTTAAAATAAATGATAGTTATTTTAGATAGAACTCGTGTAATAAATTAGGAATCAATGAGTCCACATCGATATAAATTGGTGGAAGAAAAAGGATATCTCTTCCTCATAGTAGAATGCCAGTTAATGAATGTAGAAAGGATAACAGAAATAGAAAGTTACCATTTGGCTGATTATGGTACTGAAAATAGTATATAACTTTATCTTCAGACTCTTGACCTACCAGGATTATTTGATTTTCATTAATCAGCATAGATGGAAGCCAATGACCACTTCCCATCATCTCTTAAGGCTCTGGTTTACTTGTCATATATTCCCAGAAATACACTAAGAAGATGACTAATCACTGATTGCTTCTTTGGCACCATATGTCTCCCAATTTCAAAGGAAAAATTATTCCAACTAGTACTAGAACAATAGATTTCCTACCTCCTGCAGCTGGAGTCGAACCTTGGTAACTGCTCGGATCCAGTGTGCTCTGGCTTGGGTGAACGGCGAAGATGCAGTCTCCTCAGGAAAACTTGTAAAAAAAAAAAAAAAAAAAAGAATAGTCCTTAAAAATAGCCCAGGCCACACAGTAACAGGCAAAACTGTCTAATATCTAAAATAAAATTATTTATATTCATGCCTACACTTGTTTAGTGATTCAGGCCACTAAAACAGCATGAATGTCCAATGTGGAAAAAAAAATCCTCTCTGAAATGACAACTCCTTTGAGCTTCTCATCTCTTCCTTCTCTTTCTTTCCCCTTTTTTCACTCATCCAATGAGGTAGAGTTCACTAGGACAGTCAGGGATCAGGATACTAGTAGCAATGGCAAGGGCCTGAGTTAATGTCTAGAATTAAAACTGTGCAGAGAGGTGTAGAATAACTCTCTCACCTCACCTCTCAAGACCAACAGCCTCCTTTGGGGGTTCTACATGACATCCTTAGGGCAGAATTTTGTTCCTGAAAACTCTTGCTGCTCTACTAAGTATTTTGGAAGGCTTACCAATTCCTAGACTACATCGAAAGTGCTAAGAAAAAAAGCACAGCCCTTTTTCTGCCTTTATATTATTCCTTGAGCTGCCTCAGGTACACCCTCAGAGAAATGAACAATAAATATAACAAAGCAGCTTTGAGACAGAAATACTACACTGGATTAGAACAAGTCATCATCCAGGTCCTTAACTGTAGAATAGTGCTTGATTCTTGGTGATAATACTTCTCCTGTCTCCCACTGTGGTATACCGCCAAGGCAACAAATAAGTGTCTACCATCTAGACATGTAAAAATGTATATGCTGGGCTCTAATGTAACCTAACTGGACCAATTGTTCTAAAACATTTGTAAGCCCTTCTGGCCAAGGTAGAACTTGAATTCACTTGCACAGCTAGGATCTGAGAGGACACAGCCAGTAGAGAAGGACAAATGCTCATGCTGGTCACTTCTGCTGCTCTACCAAAAACTCTACACAGACAACAGTATCTGCCAAGTCTAAGTTAACAGGGAATAAAAACTTAATACTACTCTGACTAACCATGAAATGGAATTAGAATAAAATGTACTCACAAACTGGTAAGAGAAACTCACATAATGACAGTTTCCTTATAAGAATATTGCAGGCATCGGCAGTTCTAGTTCCTGCTTATACAAGAAACAGCCTTGACCACAACTTCAGTTGATGCAGATCACCCAACTTCAGGAATTTCGCTAGCACTGACCTCCAGCATGCCGACATTAAAAATCCGTATCAGGACCAGCAAGGACACTGCCTGCATGTCCACAGCCCCTCCTCCTCATCTCTTTGTTCTGCTTTCCCTCTCCCTCCCTACAAAAACCCCTGCTGAGGGGTGAGTTAGATCTGGCTTTGATATCAATTCTAAGATGGGCTTTGCGACAAGTCCCCCATCTTCTCAGGTTACTAGCACTTGAATAATCCTCTTTCCTTTTTGACCAGCATCTGTCTCACAAGTTTGGCTTTCATGGTGGCAGGTAGCGGAACCTTGGTTCCGGTTACATAAGGTCTACAAAGAGTCATCTTTCAGTGGGTTGTCAACCTAGTAAAAAAGCTGGTCCAGAGCTCAATTTCCTGGATGTTTCATCTATTAGATGAGCCACCAAAGATGACTAAAGATTAAGAAAAAGGAAGAAGAGAAAATATGTTTATACTTTTAGTGGTGGAGTTGACATACCAACCATTCTCTCACTTTTACCTCGTAATCAGCATTCATTGCTCTGATCTTTCAGTGAGAAGCTTTATTATTAGATATTGACATTTGAGAATCTAAGTCACACCTACCCCTTATCACTCTCCATAAGTGGTTTTCAAATGGGGCTACGGAAATCTGGCAATATCTGGAAACATGTTTGGTTGTCACACTAAGGGTTGCTACTGGTATCTAGAGTGTACAGACCAGGGATACTCCTAAACATCCTACAATGCACCCAATAGCTCCCCCAAAAAAGAGTTAGCTGGTCCAAAATGTCAATAATGCCAAGACTGAGAAATCCTGCTCTGCCCTAACCTATCCGCAACATTACTGACCAATTTAGCTCAATAATAACACTCAAACTCTGTACTAAGTTTCATTATAAGACTGTTAAAAGGAAACATTTAAATTTTTTCTTATGGGTACCAACTGCCAGATACACTGGCAGGCCCTGCGGAGGCTGAGGGGTGAGTTAGATCTGGCTTTGATATCAATTCTATCTCAACCCTGTCCTGGTTTTCTCAGCCAGGGGGGAAAACACACACACAAAAAACCAAAAAGCAATGTTCATACAATCATTTTAAATATTAATATTCTTGGAAGCCTATTTCATTCTAAGCAGCTCCTTTGAATGAAATAATCTGCAGGGCTCAGGTCAGTTCCACACTCAGAGGCTACCATATATGAGGTCAACTAGTAAGCCAAGAACTTCAAATTCAAAAAAGCCTGGTACACTC